GTTGCCGGACACGGAAAAAAGACAAAAGACAAAAAAAAAAAAAAAATTACTTTTTTTTTTTTTTCCTTTTTGTCTCTTTTTTTGTGACCGGCAACGGATCGCAACCCTCAGTGTCGCGCCCGTACCGGACCAGGACCGGCAACGGGATCGCAAACCTCAGTGCTGCCCCCACACCTCGCTCAGCCAGTGAGCGGCCGGTCTGTATGTGGGATCCGAACCCTTGGCGGGAGCGCCGCTGCGCTTCCCAAGCGGCGCACTGTAGCAGTGCGCCACCGGGCCGGCCCTAAAAAATTACTTTTATTGAGATTTATATACCATGAAATTCACCTGTTTAAAGTGCACAATTCACTGATTTTTGGCATATTCACAAAGTTGTACAGCCATCACCACAAAAAATACCCAATACCCATTAGCAGTCTCTCCCCACTCTGCCCTCTCTCCCACCCCAGCAACCACTAATCTTGTTTCTGTCTCTATGGTTTTGTCCATTCTGGATGTTATGTGTGACTAGAATCATTTAGTACGTGGTACTTTGCATCTGTCTCCTTTCACTTAGTGTTTTCAGGCTCCATCCGTGCACTTCATTCCTTTTTGTGGCTGAGAAACAGTCCATTGTATGGACAGACCACATTCTGTTTATGCATTCACCACGTGATGGACATTTGGCTTGTTTCTACTTTTTGACTATCATGAATAATGCCACAGTGAACATTTGTGTGTAGGTGTTTGTGTGGGTGTGTGTCTCAGTTTCTCTGGGGTAGGCACATAGGAGTGGGGTCGCTGGGTCTTGTGGCAACTGTGTTTAACTTTTGGAGGAGCAGCCACACTGCTTCCCACAGCGGCTGCACGGCAGTGCTGTTTTCATGCTCCCACCAACAGCGTGTGAGGGTGCCAGTTTCTCCAAATCCTCACCAGTGCTGGCTGTTGTCCCTCTTTATTATAGTTTGGTCTTTTTTTTTTTCTTTTTTGTCTTTTTTTACTGACAGGTAACGGGATCGCAACCCTCGGTGTCGCGCCCATACCAGGGACCGGCAATGGGATCGCAA